GGGGGGAGAGGGGAGAGAGGGAGAAGAGAAAGAGAGAAAGATGGGGAAAAGATTACTCTAACGGAAAAGGTTGTAAACGAGTAAAAAAACAAAAAAAAAAAAAAAAGGTTTCATGGTCGTTAACGGTGTTTCCATCGCACAACAACCAAACAGGTTTCATTTTTTTTTTTTTGTTTTCAAACCCTCCAGGCTGGAGGAAAATTCTAGTTTGGAATTCTTTTTTAAATTAAATGTTCGAAAAAAAAAAATCAATAGTTAAAAACAAATTTGTCATTCGTTTATTATCATTATTATTATTTATTGTTTTGTTTTGTTTGTTTCCAACACCGTCGCTCAATAATATTATTTAAATCGTTTTCTCTCTCTCTCTCTCTATCTCTCCCTCTTTTCATTTTTGTATTTCATTTTTGGAAAATCGTTTTTCAGAGTCTACTTATTATATGATGCGATAAAAAAAAAAAATTTTTTTTATTTTGGAAAATAATAATGGAAAAGCTTTTAAAAACAAAAAAAGAAAAAAAAGAAAAAATGGAAAAAAATACTTGAAACAATTTAAATGGAAATTTTTTTTTTTGTTTTCTACCCTTGAGGAAGGAGGTGGGGTGGACTTCGAATGTGGAAGGGAGAAGGGGGGGGGGAAATGAAGTAAAGTATAGTGGAAGGGATTTTCAAATGGGTTAATTTGATAAATTATTGAAAAACAATAAACAATGGTAGTAATAAAATTGAAAATAACAAATGAACACCGAGCTGAGACTCCAGGAATAAATTTAATTAACCTTATTCCAGCCTTCCTTCCTTTCTTTTTTCCTTTCTTCATTTTTTTTTTTTTTCTTTTGGTTAATTTAATTTTTTTTTTTGTTGGAGAAAAAAAAATCGTAATAATAATAATGATAATAGTAGTAGTAAATAAATAAATAAAGTTAATTTCATTAACAAAAAAAAGAATAAAATAAAAATTATTATTTTTTTCCTCCAGAAAATTTTTTTTTTTTGGAAAATTTACGTATACCGTACATTTTTTCGAACGCGTTTTTTTCCCTTTTTTTTCTTTTCATTTTCCTGGAATTTTTTTTTGTTTTCTTATAATTAAATTAATGTTTATCTCTTAGGATAAAATTTTATTAAAGAACCAAAGCTCCAAAATTATCATTTAATTTTTAATTCCATTCATGGAATGTTTTCCCTTTTTTTTTTTAATAATATAATAATAATAATAAAAGACTCGAAATATTTATACCGCAAAAGATTTTACTTAATTTTCCTTCCCTCCCCTTTCCTCCCATTCAAAAATTTTCCAGGTTTTAATGAGTATAAAAATAAAATTGGAATTTTTTTTTAATTTAATGTGCGAAAAAAAATTTCTAAAGTTCGGCCATTTTGAATAATGTTAAGTATTATTACTTTTTATATATGACCGTATCATTACGTTAAATGATGTTTTGGAAAAAATAAACGGCTGGACTTTCCAGGAAAAAAGAGAAAAGAAAAATTCGTTAAAAGGATTGAATTAAATGGAAAAAAAAAAAAATTTTTCTCTTTTACCTTTGAACAAAATTTTTCTCATTTTCCTTAACGTTCTCGGCCATCTTTCATCCATTTATTTCATTTACCATCCATTCCATTCATTTCCTTTTTTTTTCTCCAGATTCTAAATTCATCTGGAAATGAAAATGAGTACAAATTACTTTAAATCCCATTTTACCTGTTACCCTTTTTTTTTTTTAAAAAAAAAAAAGATTTAATACTTTTTTTTTTTTTTTAGAGTCATTTGGTATTAATCCTTTGATATTTAAAATCTCTCTCTCTCTATCTATCTATCTTTCTCTCTCTCTTTGGGCAAAAAAACTTTTTAAAAATTTTTCCCGCCAAAAAGAAATTTTTCTTTTTTTACCTACCCTTTGATTTTTTTAAAATTCATTTTCACGCATTATTTTAATTTCGTTGGGGGGAGGGGAGTGGAGGTGAGGGGAAAAGATATAGAGAAAGAGAGAGAGAGAGAGAGAGCAACGAACATAAATTTTAACGAAAAATTTAATTAAAATAAAATTACAAGTAATTATCGATCGTATTTTTCGTTTAATTTCGACTCAAATTCGCCATTTCACTTTTTTCCTCCTCTTCCCCTATCCCCTCGGGTAAAAAATTTTGAACGGAAACGGAAATTTTATTAAATTATTATTATTATAAATAACGATAAAATTTCCTTGAAAAATATATTTAATTTTTTTTATTTTTTGTAAACATATAAACACAATTAACGTTACTATAATTATTTAAAACGTCAATTAAAATTATTATTATTATTATTATTATTATTATTATTATTATCATCGTCGTCGCCATTTTTGTTTTGTTTTATTCGATCACCCATTAATGACATTTTAACGGAAAAAATTTTTAATGTTTTGTTTTTTTTTTCATTTCAGTTATGAATAATTAATCGACCATGAAAATTATCCAGGTAAAATTATTATTATTATTTTCATTATCATCATTATCATCATTATTATTATTATTTAAAACGTTTTACGTTAATGTTTATTTTAATTTTTTTATATCGATAATCGATTAATCAAATGTTAAAAATTTAACAAAAAAAAAATTGATGTCGATTTTTATTTTTTTTTTACGTAGTTTTCGTATTTGTTTTCCTACAAATGACGTCATAAAAGGAAAAATAATAATAATAATAGAAAAATATTATCGATTTTGATTAGAATAATAAAATAATAATAATTGCGTTTATAAAAAAAAACGGTTAAACGAAAATTTAATAATTAATGTCATCGTTTTTTTTTTTAAATAAAATTCAACAACAATTCGAATCGATATAACAATATAAAAATAATTTATGTATTTATGTACACATAAAAGGGATTTTTTTTTTAAATAAATAAAATTTTGTGTCGATCGATTCGATAGTTTTACCCCCCTCCCCTCCCGCCTTCGAAAAAAAAAAGGATTTTCTTTTTTGTTTAAGTGATATCCGAAAATAAAATGTCATGTGCATCACGAAAAGGGATGGAAAGAAATTTTCCGTTCTTTTTTTTTTTTTTTGTTTTTTTATTCGCTTTAAATGTCAGATTTTGATTTGCTACAAACAAAAGCAAAAAAATTTAAGGGATTATATTATTTGCTATCGTTAATCCGTTATTTATAAATGTTTATTTATTTTTTTAAATTTATCCAATGATTTTTAACTATTTTTTTCTTTCATTTATTAATAATAATGATTATAACTACGTACGTGCGTGAACACTTACTTACTCAAAATTACAATTTATTATTATTATTATTACGGTTTTCTTTTTTATTTTAATTACGCGCCATTTTTTTTTTCATATTCAAATCATTCGAAATCCCTCTTTTATTTAAATAATAATTTGTTACATTTTTTTTACGTTTTACCTGAAATTTTTTTTTTTTAAACAATAATAATAATAAATTTTCTTTTTTTTTTAATCGGTAAAAGCTCCCCGTTGATGTGTTGAAAGGGAGAGGGGGGAAAAAAGAAGAAGGGATAAAAGGTTTGACATTTAAAATCGTGCAAAACAATTCGTCATCATTCTTTTCAACCTTTTCAATGTTTTTGTCATTTGATAATATCCCCCTCACCACTCGCTTACCCAACACCCCCCTCGTTTCATTCGTAAAATCTCGTATAATTAATTATTTTAATTATTTTTTATTTAAATGAAAATCCTTCAGCGACAATAATAATAATAATAATAATAATAACACATAAAAAAGGAAAAAAGAAAAAAGGAAAAAAAAAAAAAGCCGAAATTAAATCGACTGTCAAGTTGGTATTTTTTAATTATTTTTTTTTCCGGGGATTTTTTTTGTTTTTTTGGGAAAACAAAAACAAATATTTTTTGCCCTTTAAACACACAAAAAAAAATAAATATATAAAAAAGAGAGGGAGGGGAGGGGGAGAGAAAAAAAACAAAAGTTCTCACGTTATTAATTCGAAAAAGTAAATTAATTTATTTGACGGGTAGGGAAATCGTCGTTTCACGAATTTTATTATAAGAAAATTAAAAAGTACTATTAAATTTATTATAAAAAATCAGTCATCTTTTGTTCCGTTTTTTTCCATTTTTATAAATGTTAAATATTCTTTTTGAGAATATTTTTGGTAAAAATATTTTTTTTTCATTTTTTTTATTTATTTATAATTTTTTTCAATTATTATTATTATAAACAAATTATGGTTGATTCAATTTGTTGGTTGTTGACGACAATCAACAATCATGATTAAAATTAATAATTTTTTTTTTTAATCATTCTGAGGAAATTTTTTTTTTAGTGCGTGGAACTTGAAATGGAATTTTTTAATTGTAAATTTATTTACGGAAAACAATATTATTATTATTATTATTATAAAAAATAAATGAAATCAATTTATATTAATAGCAAAAAACAAAAAAAAAACTAGCAAAAACATTATTGTCTTTTTTTAAATCGATACAATCTAATTAAAAAAAAAAAAAAAAAAAAACTACTACTACGTCTATAACAGTTATAATCATTTCTTTCTTTTTTTTTAAATATATAATAAAATTTATATAAAAATTCATCAAAAATGACTGTTTCGAATGATAAAAACAAACAAAAAAAGAATTAATAAAACTTTTCCATTCATAACAAAACAATACTAAACAACAACAACAACAACAACATTCGTTGATTTGATACACGATCGACAATGAATTCTCGAATTAATTTTTTTTTATTTTAAATCAGTGCTACCAACCCAAATATTGAAAATATTTACGTATATACTGCTAAAGAATTCATCGTTAAAAAATTTTTTTTTTTTAAGCTCAAAAAAAACAATCAGAAAAAGAAGGGAATGAGTTAACAATAGATAGATAGATGAAGTGGTGGTGGTGGTGGTGACGGTTGTGATCGGGGTTCTAGAACAGTGAAAGGATTCGAAATCAATAAGGCAATGTTTTTAAATTAATTTGGAAGCCCTTTTTTTTTTTTTTTTATTACAAATCTACCGTTTCGGCAGCTATTGTGCAAGTCGGATTTTCGATATCCGTTTTGCTTTGTATCAATTTCAATTCCAAAGCCGATACGGTCGGATTATCGCCTTCGGTCGATTGTCTTGCCATTTGAAAAGTTCTTTTTACGACGGCTTGCATCGTCGCAATCGTGTTTTCCATCGTGACTTGCAAATCGTTTGTTTTATCGTACCAGGCGAGAAATAATGCAGCCGTGAGATCTCCGGTTCCGGTGAAACTCGCCGGAAGTTTCGGAAAAATCATTTTCAAAACGTTTCTCTCCTGACCCTTTTTCTTGCTCACTATCGACAACAATTCATTGTCCGCGGCCAAATCCGTCGAACTTAAAAATACAATTTCGACTCCCATTTCGTGCACGGCGTCGATGGCTTTCAATGCGTCGTCGAATGTTTTTATCGTTCTGTCCGTTATTATTTCCAATTCGAATTGATTCGGAGTGATTATGTTTGCCAAAGGTACGATTTCCGTTTTGAAAACCGCCATGGATTCTTTCGGTACGTACAACCTTCCGTTGTCTCCCATGACCGGATCGCACACGTACACGAGATTCGGATTGACTTTTCTCAATTGTTTAACGACTTGGGCGACTTTTTTCAAAAAACCCGCATCTCCGATGTATCCCGTGAGCAAATGAGAATAATTATCTAAATTATTAGCGGATAAACCTTTTACCAAATCCTCCAATTCGTCCTGTTTCAAAACTTGTCCTTTCCACAATCCGTAACCCGTGTGATTTGAAAATTGTACTGAATTGATGGGATCCACGTCGAAACCGAGAACCTGAAGCGGAAACGTGGCACTTTTATTTCCGACGTAACCCGAAACCACGTGACTTTGTATCGACAAAACTCTCCCGGGTTTCTTGTTCATTTTTCCCTCTTGCGTGATGTTTTACTCATGAATATCGCAACGACTGCAACTCCGACTGATCCGATAACGGCCCAAACTGAAAACGAAAAAATTTTTTAATTTTTGCTAAAATATTTTTTTAAACAACAAAAAACGGAAGCGAAAATTACGAAAATTTTTATATAATGACTCGACAACATTAACGACAACAACAACAACAACAAACCAGATTTTTGACATTTATTAAGAATAACGACGTTGATTACGTCACTACTTAAAAACTAACCTAATGAAATAATTTAAAAGAAAATCGATTAATCAATCAATCAATCAATCAATTACAAATTTACGTTCGCGCAACACCTGAGACAAACAACAACGTTAACAAAATAAAATCTTAACAAACTCAACACGACAGCGACAGCGACTTATTTAAGTTTACAAACAAAAACTTTTTTTAAAAAAAAAAAAAGTTAAACAATTACCGTCGGTTGTAGGAAACGATTCGTGCAACAATTTTTTTTGTTTTTGTTGGTACCAATGAGAGAGGGTTAAAGATAGACAAAACAGGAAAAAAGGAAAAGGACCTGAAAAATTAAAAAAATTTACCGGAAATAATTAATTTGATATTTAAAAATTTATTAACGAAATATATATATATATCGTGAGAGGGTTGTTGATAACGATGATAAAAACCGTGCATGCACCCCCACCCCTTACACCTCCCCCTTTCCCACCCTTCCCGAATTAAATTTTCATTCTTTTATCGATTAAATTTTTTTCTTGCAAAAAAAAAAAAAAAATGTTTTTTTCATTTTTTTCATCGATTACGTTCGATCCATTACGATCGATAAATTATTATTATTTTTTATATTATCATTATTATTTTTCTTCTGCTTTATCGTTTCCTCTTCCGTTTCGTTACAAAAAAAAAAAACTAACAAATACGTAAATATAAATTTTTAAGTAAACTCTGACGTCGTCTACGACGATTTTATCGATTTTATTTTATACATTTTTTTTTTCGCATCGAAAACAAAGTAATAATGATAATAATAATGATAATAATAATAATAATAATAACGATAAATTATTATTAATATTTACGACGTAAACGAAAAAAAAAACCGTTTCGCGTTTGTGTTAAACCTATCGTTTCGTTCGGGAATAAAAATAAATAAAAAAAACGGAAATGGGGAATTCGGGAGGGGGAAAAAAAGGGACGTTGTTGCAACAACGACGTAAGCATAAACGACAGGAAGTGGAAAATTTTCCAAGAGGAAAAATACATTAAAAAGAAATTATTTAAAAAATAAAAATAAAAAACAAAAAGGGCGAGAATAAAATCACGACGTGAAAAAAAAAAAAAACAAAAAAAAAAAATTTTGGGGGGGTGAATGAAATTCCTTTTTTTTTTTGTATGTTTTCCTGTAGGAATAAAATTACGAGAAAAAAGAAAAAAAAAGTTAAAAACTGGATGATTATTGTGAGAAAAAGTAAAAAGTTTTCTTTTTTCTTTTTGAAACCGTAAAAAAATAAAATTACTAACGAACTCCTACAAATATTAATAATAATAATAATAATAATAATAATAATGAATAAATTCCATTTGAAATAATAATAATAATAATACTAAACGTTTTTACTTTTTTTTTAATTTTAAACCACAATATATATCTAACCTTTTTTGTAATAAAAAAAAAAATAATAATAATATTTGTAAATGTCACAATACGGCAAAAATTACGCCCTCTTCCCTCCTTCTCTTTCCCCTCCCCTCCCCTCTCTCCGCCCCCAAAAAAAAATTGTTTTTAATATTTTTTTATTTAATTTTTTTTTTTTTATTTGTTTTTAAACGGCTGCTT